ACACACACACACACACACACACACACACACACACACACACACACACATACACATGATATGGATAGAATCACTTTAGATGCAGCATAATAATTTTTCAATTTAAAATGCACTGTGCCGCCGTCGTCGTCATCGTTTTTTTTATCTCATCGTTTTGAGTTTATCTCCGTCAAACATGATTGCAGATAAGATTCAATGCTCAATGCTTTTCGCTCAGACGATTTTTGTTATTGATGTGTGGAGTTGAATGTTCATCAGTAGTGGCAGCGACAGTGGTAGAGGCAGCGGCGGTAGTGGCAATAACAAAAAGCCAGGCAGTAACATCAGCAGCCAAGTATAATCCTCAATTTTTTTTCTGGGCAAATGACATTCCATTCGTGACATTGCGTCGTCAAAAGATTTTGTTGATGACATATCTACAGTATGTTTGTGGATTCATATAATAACGGTAGTATTTGCATAAAAGAGAGAGAGAGAGAGAGAGAGAGAGAGAGAGAGAGAGAGTGCGACGAGTCGACAGATGAAGTTTTCAATGAGACCATTGATGCAAATTAATATGGTCACAATCACTTTGGGCTTCGTTTGTTCTACATTGCACACAAACACACACACACACGTATACATATGCTTTTGGCGTGCATTCTTGAGCATTGAATGCGAGGCAAAAGAATCGGTCGATGTGTGTATGCCGTTGAAAATGTGCCGTTCTTCATTTTAATTCATATTAAATCCATATTTCATATGCGTTGCGGTAAAATTTTAGTAGAGAGAAGCATATGTGAGCCCAAGTGAATAGCTCATTTCAAACCGTCATTATCAATTCACACAATCTGGTTGCCACTTTTTTTTTGCATTCTTGTAATTTTACTTCTCTCGCACCTTTCGGTTCCTACTTGCACTGCCACTCACACTCTCAATGGCACACCATGGTAGTCCTCAGTCCTCAGTCCTCACTCGTATGGCAACCAGAACATGTAAATTTCTATTTTTTGTTTCGTTCGAATTGAAAAGAAAATTGCAAACGTAAAAACAAAAGAATCATTTTTTTACATTGCTGCCGGGAAACAGTGTAAAAGCTGAAGCTTGCTTCGCTTTTTTCACCCGTTATATTTACTGTAACACACTCTTCTTTTTTTGCTACATTGTAACTTTTGCTCTTAAATACGAAAGCCTAAAGATGTGCATACGGAATAAAAAAGTTGAAGGAAAAAAATTGACACGACGAAAAACAAATAGAACACATTGAAATCGAAAAGAGAAAAGGAGAGAGCGAAAAAATGAAACAATTGTAGCGGAACATCGTTGGAAATGTGAATAGAAATGGCAATTTTTTTGCCTCTGCTTCATGCGCAAACTTCATTGTTTGCTTCTTCCCTTTGCACCACTTTTGTCCTTCTTCCCTGTTCTCGGCCCGTGCATAGAGAGAGGGAGGGAGTTAAACGTCAAGTGGAACAGTTTTAGTATTACTTTTCACATTGCACTGCCTCATTGCAATACTGTTTGGCCCATGAATGACAATTATTTATCCGGGATGCTGATGCCGCTGCTGCTTGATGATTTTCATTGAGAGGAAAAAGTTTCATTTGTTTGTTGTAAATAAATGCACTTAGGAAATGCTATTTTGTCAAATGACTTGATTCGGAAGATCCTCATTGAAATTAATCGCGATGTTATTCAAAAATTAACTAGAGAAATAACATTTGGCTTCGCTTCCCTTCGCACACGCTTGTCAAACTTAAATGGAATCGCTATTAATGTTCAAACTTGAATGGCGAAAAGTGTTAAACAACACTAAAACGAATCGCAAACACATTCGAATCTATTTAAAAAAAAGAGAAAGCAAAAGTGGTGGCGGAAAAAAAACGAAAATAAAATGAAATGGAAAATACATTACACGAAAAAAAAAGCGCCAATAGTACAGAACAGTTGGGGACCGATTCTGGAATGAGGAGCGGGGTGTTTGTTTAATATGCTGACGATGATGATGTGATGTTGGTTGAGTACGAATGGCACTTGTGCCATATATCCCGTTATGGTTCCCCAAAGAGAAATCTTTAGTTGTCTAATCACGTTTTAGTTGTCTCTGGGGATACGATTGATACGTTTACATATTTTTATTTTTGCTTTCGTTTACCATTACGATTTTACCGACGAATTCCATTTTAGTTCTCTCGTCGTTATCGTTTTTTTTATGTCTCTCGATACTTTACAACGTGCTTCCGTTTCGTTCCGTAGACATATTTCTTTTAGTTTTTTTTGTATAAGGGATGAAGAATGCCATGTACGGTCTAGTGTTTGACTCAATCACACAGAAAATCAACTAAGACCTTCAGGCCATTTCAACAAATCAACTTCCGTTGATAGTTCATCCGTTTTGTTGACCGACATTGGGATGGAAAACGAAAAGAAATGAGTTGATGTCAACTTGGGAATAAATGTTAGTCTTTATTTCATTCTTCGTATGACAAATGAACGAAACATTTTAGGCCATAAGAAATTACTCATTATAATATGCCACAATCCTTGTTCAGAAGTAATTAAAATTGTGAACGAAACACAGATAAACATGACGCATGATTTTAACTTTCATATTATGTATCATATTAGGTTGACGAAAGAGCAACCATTTGAAAATTTGTAATAACTGATAATTCAAAGTATTGTTGAAGATTTGTTCCGCTACCAACAAATTGCTAGGAACATTATTTGGTTCTCAAAGCTGTTATTGCTCAGTTGTTTTTTCCCTTAAAAGTCAGTTAGTTTAGAGTTAAAGCATGGGCACATACAATTTACGAGTGGTTCAAGGAGACGCTATGTGAATGCACTGAATTATATATAGGTATACATAGACTCTTCAAATACGGCACAATGAACAGTCAAGTGTTTCAACACCTTTCGTACTCAAAAGCGTAAGGTGCACAGTAAATCGAACAAAAACACTGAATTTTCCGGGAATGAGGTTCAGCTCGATGAAAAACACGCTTTCTCATAATTTTCGCCGTAATACCACTTTAACCGACTAAAATGAAAAGTACAAGCGTCGGCAAAATGCTGTAAGAAATCTCATTATTTCAATATTTTTTTAACTTTTAGAACATTTTTTCATACTTAACAAATAGGCGAGAGTCTGAAATTTCAAATCATAAAATTATGAGTTGAACGATTTCATTATTTCTTTAACCTTGAAAGACGTATGTCTCTCGCATTATGCTGCACATTAGAAACAACTCGTAGCAAAATATCGACCGAATGAACAAATGCAATAAAAATGAAGTGAATGTTCATTAAAATAATTGAATTTTCCATATTTATTTGATTCAAATAAAATGCTCCATATCAATTGAATATTTGTCGTAGTGTTATTTTATTCTTAAGCTTATTTGTTACAAATTCTATCTATTTATGAGTGTTTTTCTATTTCTTCCCGGAAATCGTATGAATCATTTTTGTTTGTCTGTCTCATTTGACAGTTGATGGGGAAAAATAATTGATGTAGAATGCTGTGTCATGTTTCGCTTGTGAATCAATGTGGTTTGTTTTATAAATTGAATATTATTACAAATGATCTAACGCAATTTATTTCTATATTTTCTGGGTAAAATTGTAAGGCTTAAACATCGACGCCTGCCTGATTGGAGAGAATGTTTTTAATTTTTTGCAGCAGTTCTCGTTTGACGGTGTCGGGTACAAGAGCACGGGATTTTGGTGTTATTTGTTTGGCAATTTCATCAACATTCACGTTTCCACCCTCTTCTTTGATAACATCACGGGCTAGCAGCCGCACCTCATCATTCCAACCACACTCGGTCAATCGTAAACGCAGAAGGTCTTTCAGTCTGAAAAGGAGATTTAATTTGTGAGTTTTTGGTCACTAAACCAGGACTGATAAGTCGAAATTGGAGAACATAAATGCGATTAACATGAGCATCATGTGCTAAACATTACATATAGCAAATCATTTTCACAATACCAGCGAATTCATCATCACATTTGTCAAAGTGTAAACCAAATGAAAGGAAAAACTTACTTTGCTCGTTCGCCGAGTAGAATTGTTGTTTGGTCCACTGTTGTTGTAAGAGTCATTGTGTGCAGAATATCTCGACCAATTGCTGTTTACTATCAATTTCAATGTTCAAATCAACAGGTTTTGTTCGGATTTGGGATCGGCTCGTTCTTAATGCACACTTTTTATGGAACACAATATCAATTTCTGCCTCAATAATGCTGATATATAGACTAAAGAGATGGAGTTTTTTTTCACAAATTATGCTTTCGTCTTCGTTCGATTGCCTGTCAAAAGTTTACGCATTCTGACATTTCAGCGGAATGCAACAGCGCCAACTTTGAACAACCATAATACTTTGGAATAGCAATCGAATAATTATATTTTGTTAATTCAAAGGCATGTTTCAGCATAAACAAATATTTCAATCAAATTAATATTCTAGTAATATTCTTGAAGTCATTTTTATTTTGTTTCAACCCGCAATTTTTAATATTTAACAAACAAACACGAAATTTATTCTACGTTCCAAGAGATGTTCCTTTGAACGAAGACTGGAATATGGTTGCCGTACTAGATGAACATCAAACTTAAACTGTCATCACTTGTTTGTAGGTAATGTGTTACAAAACTCAATGTCACTTGGTGTATATTCCAAATTTAAGCGTTGTGGTGTTGATAATTTGTTTATCAGACTTGAATCAAATACGTTTTTAAAATGGATGTAAGTGGTTTCTGCATTTAGTTTTCTGTCTCAAAAACGGAATTTAGTCAATTCAAATGAAAACACCATAAAAAAAAGAGCTTCAGATTTGTTGTTAGATACAAATTCACCGCAATGTTATTGTATCAAACCAAAAACAGTACACTAGCATGCTTTCGGTTTCGCAAGCGTAATGAGATAATGAATTGATGGAGCCCAATAGCTTGTGTTTTTATTTTAGAAGAAATAGAATGTTCGAAATAAATCATATAAATTGAAATGAATGAGATTCAGGATCACCGCACACGGTATCCTAACCAAGAAGATTGTTTATATTTGAGTAACATAACCTCACTTTTCGGTTCACTTGATTTTCAGAAGGCAAGCCCGAAGAAGGCATTGAAAAAGAAACGCACGAAAAATATTACAAAACCCGTGGTTTCTGACTCTGAGGATTCGGACAATGAAATACCAGATTTCAATGGTGTCGAGACCACTTTAAATGAGAATGAAGACAGTCTTTTGAGCGATGGAGGTAATAATAGCGAAATTATTTTCTAAACAACATCAAAATAGATGCCACTTTAGATGCAAGTTTAATTGCAAACGATTGTCCTAAATGACCGATTTCAATCATAGGTTGGAGCAGCGATGACGACCGTGAATTGGTCCAAAAAGTGAAATCAACGTCAAAACAAACGGATAAAGTCAACTACAAAACCCGATTGAAGCAACTCAATTGGAATGACATCGCTTTCAAAGGCTATTCAGCCGAAGATTGCGCGAAGCGCTTCCAGAATCATTTAAAATATGTGCGTCGCCATCGTAATCTGAATGAAATCGCCACCGACATTGAGACAAATATCAAAAAGTGCCCACTGAAGAAGCCGCTGAATAGCTACCAGATCTTCATTCAAGATCAGCTGACCAATGTGAAGTCAAGCGGAGATTTTGTGAGTATTTTTAGTGCCTAGTTAAAAATTAGCACAGAATGTTGCATGAGCAAAAACAACGTTTTTTCTTCCCTGCAGTCGGAAACAATGAAGAACTTGGGAACGATATACAAAGAGTTGCCGTCTGAAGAACGGGCCATTTATGAACGAAAGGCCGAGCTACTGCGTCAAGAGTACAAACAAAAGAGAGCCGAGTTTGAGTAAGTTTGTCATATTAAACATGTTGCAATTTATTTGACCATAAACAATTCTAACGAAATCTCCCTTTGATTCAAGTTCGGGCAATATTTCATTGGTAGGCAAGACTAAAACTCCCGTCGAAAAAGCCAAAACGCCGTTCATGCTCTATGCGGAGAGCAAAAAGTTGGAAGAAAGTGACTTCTCAAAATTGCGTGAGAATTATACAAATCTGTCGATCGATGAAAAATACAAATGGGTCATAAAAGCCGTCAGTGCGGCTCAGGATAAATCGGTAAATTTAGAAATGAGTTTCAATTGAAAGTACACAGTCAAAAATAAATGTCCACATTTAGGCGGAATTTCGACTGGTAGAGGCGCCCAGTCCTATATTTTGCCTAGCAAACGGAGTTTCAGACGAAATACCGACTAGATTATAAGCGGAATTTCGCCTGTAGCTCAAGGTACTAGCAGAAATATCGGCTGAATGAGTCTTTAGCTGAAAAAACGCCCAGATGTAGACTTTTATTTTTTGCTGTGTACGATAGAGATTTTGGCGGTGACATACAATGTATTCGCTCGCACAAATGACAACTATTACATTAACGAGGTATGACAGCAGTTAGTGCGAGACGGACGCAATTTGACACCGCCAATATGTCAGCCGTTCTTTAATAAAAATTCAAATTTTTCAATCAATTTTTGAATGAAATTTAAAATGTTCCCATTTTTTATGCGATTCACAGCAAGAAAATGTTGCAAAAATCCTAAATAAAGAAGAGCAGCGAATTTTCAGAGGTCAACTCAAAATGACACCGTCAGCATACCAATTGTATATTAAAGATTCGTACAACAAAAAAAAAGATACTCTGGATGAGCACCATGATCCCAAAAACGTGTTCACTGAACTGGCAAAAAGTTGGAAATCACTCGACCCAAAGAAGAAGCAAATCTACGCAAATGCTGCAGCTCTTGTAGGTTTTCTATATGATCAAAAAGAATTTCGTTGAACTTACCTACAATGACTTACATTGATGTTTCCTTTCATTCACAGTTGAAGGAGAAGGCAATCAAAGATCAGGAATCGTTCAACGAGCGTCACGGTGTGAAACCACAGAAAATGAAGCGACGAAAGTCAACATACATTGAACGAGCTCCAGAGGATGAATTGGATCAAGAAGAAGAAGAAGAGGCTGAAATCGCATCGAAGCTGAAAAAGCAAAAGATTTCAAACTCTAGTCCAATTGAATCCGGTCCAGATGAGACAAATACCAAGCAAATTCAATTGAAATCACCGACAAAACTGAAGTCGCCAACAAAACTAAGTTCGCCAAAGCCAAATGCAGTGCCAGTAGTTCCATCGTCTGAAAAGGTCATTTTACCTCAATCACGCAGAAAAGAAATTGTGGCTCAATCGCCCGCCAAAGTGGAGGAAGAGAAAGAGAAAAAGAAGAAACATAAGAAGAAAAAATTGAACTCAGAATCCAGTGAATTGGACTCGGAACCCAATGATAAGAGTGAAAGCGATGCGGCCCGTAGTTCATCAAGCACCGGTTCAAAGAAAAAATCGAAGAAAGATAAGAATTCGGGAACGATTAAGCCACCAGGCGATAAGCCACCATCAGATTTCTTTAAGTATTTTGTCAAGCATGTTCATACGGGCAAACCACACAAAGCCCAGAAGGCACTTGACAAACTCCCCAAAAAAGAACGCAAGAAACTGAATGCTGAATACAATGAAAAAGTGCAAACATACATGGATCGACTGAAGTTGTACTTAGAAACGCTACCGAAAGAGGAGGCTATCGCTTATGTTAGTATCGAAAAATGAATTTTTCATGTTTTTTTGTCAAACGACTCACGTTTACGTGGAAAAATTACAATTTTTATCGTCATTTTAGGTTAAAAGAGTCAAAGCGGCCGAAGATGCTGAACAAGCCAATGAAGAAACTGAAGAAGATAGTTCACAGGAATATTGAACAAACTGATTAATATCGGACGATTTATTTGACTTCCTCCTAGCAAGAATGGAATTAATTTTTTTATTACTTTTCCGATCGTTATTTTTTTTTCGCATGCAATTCAGGTTTAATTTTCCATATTTTCAATAAATAAAAGGTAAAAACAGAAGATAAACAACTGTGTTAAAAAAATGTTCACAACAAGCACAAAACATGAAATCCGTTACCGTCTCATACTCTTATCATATTCAGCCCATGAAATACATTCAAAACTTGAATGACATGAAACTTTGACGTTTCACAGCACATGCTCTGAAATGTCAAAACAATACACATTGAAGTGGTACAGTAGCACATCGTTTTGTTTGTAATTAGAATTCATCCAAACGGATTTGTTCCTATTGAAAATTCGAAAAATGAGTGAAAATCCAGAAATCGAAATTAATTCATCGGAGCTAAAACCTGAATCGGACGGCGACAATAAAGTTGAAATCAAACTTAGTGAAACACCAACCGAGCCAAAAATGAGCACAGAAAATGGGCAAACCAATCGTGGTGAAGTTCTATCGAAACGTAAACAGAAGAAGTTGTTAAAAATGGCCAAATGGGAAGAGCAGAAAAAGATCAAGCGACAAAAGGAGAAGGAAAAAAAGCGAGAGAAGCGAGCCAAAGAAGTGGAGCTGGGCATCCTTGGACCAAGTTACAAGCGTAAATTATTGAAGGCAAATAAAATGGAAAACAGTACGAATTTAGTGAGTGTGGCGATCGATTTCGATTACGACGAACTGATGCTGGATAAAGATATCGCCAAGTGTTCCAAACAAATGTTACGCGTATACACCGAAAATCGACGGTCAAATATGCCAATTCGACTGCATTTTACGAGCATCCGAGAAAATAGTCGCATCAAAAATTCACTCAGTCGCAACGATGGGTACACAAATTGGGACGTGAAAATCCATGAGAAACCCTATTATGAATTATTTGATCACAATTCAATCGTGTATCTGTCCAGTGATTCGGAAAATGTGCTGAATGAACTCGATCCGAATGCCGTGTACATTATTGGCGGGCTAGTTGATCACAACCACCATAAGGGACTGTCTTTGGAACGAGCTGAAGAAAAGGGCTTCAAAACAGCTCGACTACCGCTCAGCGAACATATCGAAATGAAAACGAGGAGCGTGTTGACAATCGTTCATGGTAAATCATCCGAAGAATCTATTGATATTTTTTTCGACTTCATTGATTTATTTGTTTGTCATTTTTACAATTTCTAACCTAAAATTTAATTATTTTTTTCAGTGTTTGAAATTTTGTTGAGAATTTCTGAAGGAAAACCGTGGAAAGAAACGCTGCTGCAAGTTCTGCCACAACGAAAATTCAAACCGAACGGCAAGCGGAAGCACAGTGATTCGGGCAGTCAAGTGGATAATGACGAGGAAACTACGAGTAAAGACCAACAACCAGTAGAAAAAAAGTCCAGTCTTGAAGAGGAAACCAACGACAATACTGTGTCAACAATTTGAATATGAAATGTTGTTTTATTTAATAAAAAAAGATGGTTATAAGAAAAAAAAAAGAAAAAAAACAATTTTTTTTCAATTCGTTCTTCAATTTCCCCCAAAATCATTCTAAATTTATTTGAATTTCATGCATCGCACCAGATTGAAAAAAAAAACTTTGATTGCGAAATATACGGACCGGCGAAATACGCGTTGAAATCATGGAATCCCATTCGTCTGAATTCTGCTGTCAATTTGCACACGTCACGTTGGCCAACCTGACAATGTGAATACTTGGACTTTGCGCCAATGAGCATGTATGTTGAATGACATTTGCGCTGTGCGAATGAACCATTATTTCGTTCAATGTGTGAGAGTAAAGAAGAGAAGTAAAATTTTCGCACTACACAGTGAAAGAACATTCGCTTGTCCAATCAATTGTTTTAGTAGTTCTTTTTTTAATTTAGCTCCATTCGATTTGCGTTGTGTGTTGAAAAAAAGAGAAAGAAATTAAATAAAAAATTGGATTTTCGAATTGAGTTCATTGGTGAAATAGCAGCAATTCGTCAAAAAATAAAATGGAAGCTTTGATTCCAGTAGTAAATAAATTACAAGATGTATTTAATACGGTCGGTTCGGATTCGATTCAGCTACCACAAATCGTTGTTCTTGGATCACAGGTTTGTATTTATACAGTGTGAAACAAATCAATGGCTACCCCCCGCCAATGCAATCGCTGCAAATCACCATTGATAATGAGTCAATGGCATGTCGATGTGATTCGATTGTAAATTTTTTTATACGGAAATGAAATTCCGTGTGCAGGAATTTCAGTGGTTTTTTTTTCTGGTCTGCAAAAATTACGTAATTTTCAATGTTATCTTGCGACCATTCCATGTAGTGCACATAAATTGGGGTTGGTTCGTACATGTGTGATACCGAGCATGACACACATTTTTCGCACCCAAACTCATGAAAAGTGTCATCGCTTTATTTACATCGTGTGAACGCCTATTTAATTTATGGCATTTAAATTCTGGGCTTTAATATGTTATGAATCGACTAGTGAGTCTATCAAGATTGGCAGCTTTTGAATCGACCCAAAAATGAATTATTATGTACAAAAAGCAGACACAAAAAGACAATTTCTGTACCAATTCTATGTGAAAATATCCCATTTTGAATTGCGTGTGACGTTTTTTCTCTCCAGACATGCTGATTTTTTTTTCTTCATTATCACACAAAATTAATCATACATATGTCACCCGGGTTACTACTTTTTTTTATCTATAGAGTTCTGGCAAGAGTTCAGTGATAGAAAGTTTGGTGGGACGATCGTTTTTACCGCGTGGAACTGGAATTGTAACACGACGACCATTGGTTTTACAATTGATTTACACGCCATTGGAAGACAAGGATCATCGATCAGCTGAACAAGGTTTGTCATTGATTTTATTGTCAAAATCCGCTTTTGATACGACAACTGTTTGGAACCAAATATTTCGTTTACTTTTCATTCAGCGCCGACATTTGTACAAAGTCTCACTAATTTTCTTGGTCCCTCAAATCCTCTCGCAGGCACAGCAAAACTTGAAGAATGGGGCAAATTTTTGCATACAAAGAACAAGGTTTTCTCTGACTTCGATGAAATCCGAAAGGAAATCGAAAATGAAACCGATCGTATGGCCGGCACGAACAAAGGCATTTGCCCCGAACCAATCAATTTGAAAATCTACTCAACGCGTGTTGTCAATTTGACATTGGTCGATTTGCCTGGACTGACCAAAGTGCCCGTCGGTGACCAACCAGAAGATATTGAAGCACAAATCAAAGAGCTGATTCTTAAACACATTGAAAATCCAAATTCGATTATTTTGGCCGTGACAGCAGCGAATACCGATTTGGCAACTAGTGAAAGCTTGAAAATGGCCAAAGAAGTCGATCCGGATGGCCGACGCACTCTGGCTGTTGTCACGAAATTAGATTTAATGGACGCCGGAACAGATGCTATTGATATCCTCTGTGGACGCGTTATACCAGTTAAACTTGGAATTATTGGTTCGTTTTAAATGAATTCAACAATTCAATCGCATTTCTTTGAACGAGAGAGAGCGAGAGAGAGAGAGAGTGCAACAAACTCATGCTTCATTTTTTTCAATTAACAGGTGTTGTCAACAGATCGCAACAAGATATCATTGACAGAAAGAGTATTAACGATCAATTAAAAGATGAAGCCGCTTATTTGCAACGGAAATATCCAACACTGGCTACACGAAACGGTACACCCTATTTAGCTAAAACACTCAATAGATTGCTCATGCACCACATTCGAGATTGCTTACCAGATCTTAAGGTAAGAACCGGTGTCATCTTCGTCGCATCAGCGATAAAAAACGTTTCATGGATAGAATTCGCTTGTCATCATCATAAAATAATGCATCAAATTTCATTCACAGACACGTGTTAACGTCATGATCTCACAATTTCAATCGCTATTAAATTCATACGGAGAGGACGTAACCGACAAGAGTCAAACATTGCTACAAATCATAACGAAGTTTGCGAGTGCTTATTGTGCGACCATCGAAGGAACGGCCAGAAATATTGAGACAACCGAACTGTGTGGCGGTGCAAGGATCTGCTATATTTTCCACGAAACATTTGGCCGAACACTCGATGGCATTCATCCGTTGACTGGTGAGCAAATGGAATTTTAAACGATAGTTTCAGATTGCAAATTCATTTTTATTAATCTTTCTCTTCTATTTCCACATTCCTCCCGTGCAAGGTTTAACAAAAATGGATATATTGACGGCAATTCGAAATGCGACTGGTCCACGTCCGGCACTTTTCGTGCCAGAGGTTCGTATTGAAAATTTACATGTCAGTAGTTAGATACAAACCACATGGTCATACAACCATAGGGTTTTAAGCTCAACACGCAATTCATGATTCGTTTGTTGTAGGTGTCTTTTGAGCTGTTGGTAAAACGTCAGATTAGACGCTTGGAAGAGCCATCATTGCGTTGCGTGGAATTGATTCACGAAGAAATGCAACGTATCATTCAGCATTGCGGCAATGAGGTGCAGCAGGAAATGTTGCGATTCCCGAAATTGCACGAAAAAATCGTGGATGTTGTGACTCAATTGCTACGACGCCGTTTACCAAATACAAATTCAATGGTGGAGAATATTGTTGCCATTGAATTGGCTTATATCAATACGAAGCATCCCGATTTCCATAAAGATGCTGCTTTGGTGCCAAGTCTCTTGAAAACCGATCACATTCAAGAGAATCCATGGAATCAACGTCCCGATGGTGCGGAGAAGAGACGCACTAATCGCAATCCATCACCAGCCATGCACCATAATCACGTTGACGCATTGGCCGAGTCAAATCACAAAAATCAGGATCAAAACAATCAAGATGATCAAAAATCTTCGGGATGGTTGTCGAACATTTTACCACCAGCTGCACCAATGTACAACAACTCTCCGAGACTTCCAACTGAAAGTACCGAGAGTTCAGCTGCTAATACACCAACGCATGGTATTTTGAGCCCATTGAAACCAGTTAATTTGTTGCCGGATGTTCCAATCAATCCAGCCGCTCGCAAATTAACCGATAAAGAACAAAAGGATTGCGATGTCATTGGTAAGGAGGAGATTTATTGAAACTATAGCATAGTCGATTGGAAAGTGATAAAATTCTATCAAAGTTTTAACAACAAAAAAAATTCTTCATTTATATTTCCAGAGCGTCTCATCAAATCCTATTTCTACATTGTTCGCAAATCAATTCAAGACTCGGTACCAAAAGCAATTATGCACTTTTTGGTGAACTATGTGAAGGATAACCTTCAATCGGAATTAGTAACGCATTTATACAAATCGGAAAATGCCGACGCTTTCTTGAACGAATCCGATCATATTGCCGTTCGACGAAAGGAAGCAGCTGATATGCTCAAGGTGAGTGTTATAAAATAGGCTAAATTAGCCAGAGATTTTTCTAAATGAGATTTTCGTTTCGCTACAGGCATTGACCCGAGCTAATCATATAATTAGTGAGATCCGTGAAACACACATGTGGTAAACTCAAGGATTTTGTATCGGATTAGAATTCGTAGCAGTGTCTAATAAGGCAACGCATCATCTTTTAAAACCAAAACCACCACAACTACATCTTTACCATTTTACCATTTGATCATTTGAACGCATTTCATTTTGATGAATCATCACCGTTGATTTTTTTTTCTTCGTGAACAGACACATCAAAGGTTGATCGTTGATTGATTTTTGCCGTTTTTGTTGTGTTTTGTTCGAGTTTATTTCTTTATTTATTCAAAAGGAGAAACAAAAATCCGAAAAATCCAAACAATCTATGGAGAAAAAAAACTTTTATTCAAAAGGAGAAACAAAAATCCGAAAAATCCAAACAATCTATGGAGAAAAAAAACTTTTCTGACCGAAATTGAAGAAGCATTAAAAAATAGCACATAATAATTGTTGATACACTTGAATCAAAAATTCGGTAAAATATTTGTTTGAAAGAGAAAAGACAAGAATGATTTTGTTGTAGAAGCATTGCTTTCGTTAGAATATTCAGTGATATTTCGATATGTATACACATTCTCGTGAGTAAAATCAATCTCTTTTTCTTCTATACGTTTTTTTGGCTCATTTTCAACGTTTGTCAAACGATAGAAAGTTGAAACGAAAAACCAATTTACAACTCATTTAATTGAGACCAGCATTTTCGCTTCAAAATTGTAGTTTAAACCAAAATTCAAGTCTGTATCATTTTGAAATTAAATAACAAAAAAAAGAATAAACTGAATTTGTATGATACCATTAAGCATAAAAATAAAATCAAGTTCAAGATAATCAGCGTATTCATTTCATTAAATTATCTGTTATTACAATTGAAAACAATAGAGCGAAGCGACCTAAATTTAACGTGCATTTCAAATTGTCAGTGAATTTCCAGTAGCAGTCGCGCAAGCAACCGCACCCAACTTCACTACCATACACACGTCTATTTTTGACATTTGCTAAACGGGAGAGTTTTGTATATCATTCGCTTTGCCCCACTGATTCATCTTTCTTTTTTTAATGTTTAATCTCTGTCTTCATTGATTTTATACTTTAAATTCCCAGTTGAATTGAACATTTGCCAAGGAAATTCGATAGAAATACCAACAAATCACTTGGAATTGATAGAAATTGAACGTGAGACAATAGTTTTTTTTTTAAGTAAATACAGAATGGCAAAGAATACATCGAGTTCGGCTTTTCGTAAGATAAATGTTGACCAATACAATGAGGACAATTTCAAAGAGGATGAAATCGATTCAAATGGAACAGTATACACTGGCCCCGACGATGCTGAAATCACAAAATTACTTAACACCGGCAAAAATGTTGAGGCATTGAAACTGGTACTGGAGAACGCCCCGTTGACAAGCAAAAATCAACAAGCCAAGGTGAGTCTGATGCTATGACTTCATTTTGTGTTAATCGATTCAAGTTTTTTGCTAGTGTGTTTGATGTTTCATGCAGAAGAAAACATTGAATTTCAAAATGATACAGAAAAGTTTTACTAAAAAAAATTCCATTTTTCTCCAATTGTTCTCACAGGAGAATGCCAGACAGTTGACACTCAAAGTATTGCTATCAATCAAAGGCAACCAAATGGACAGTGCAATAACCGCATTAAACGATGTGGACTTGGTGGATGTGCTGATGAAGTATATTTACCGTGGTTTCGAGTTTCCGTCGGATAATTCCAGTGCACATTTACTGCAATGGCATGAAAAAGTGTACGCCCGATACGGTGTCGGTTGCATTATGCGAGTCTTAACTTGCACAAATCGAGCGTAAAACTGTGCTGTGGTGCCGGAACGCAAATTGCGATAGCAAAGTGTGTGTGTGTGTATGAGTATATGAGACGGAGGCACAAACACTCCGAGATAAGATAAACTCAGTTTCAATTCATTTCTTCTGTTCAACTTTTTTGGTCACAGTGTGTTTGATAAACGGACAATGTGAATCATAATCTTTTTTTTTCTGTGTTTAACATTTTATTTTAATTGTGCTAACACACATTTTTTTTCCCTTTAAATAAATTATTTTTTTTTGCATTGTTAGTGATCCTTCTATTAAGAATAAAAACAAGAAATAACTTTTTGCTGAATGCAAATCCAATCAAGGAAAATTGCAATCATTCTGAATTGACTGCTAACATTCTTTTTTATACGCCATCGCCAAATGGTTTAGTCAATTGCATTTTTATGACATATTTTTTTTCATCATTGAAACATAATAAATTATAACGAGAAAACAAAGGAAAAGTGAAAATAAAACCCAAAATAATGTAAAATTGCGCTCAAATAAAGACGTAAACAAGATAAAATAAATGCGTTGTTTTTTTTTCGTATATATGTTTAAAAATAGACTGTTTCTTTCTTTTAATCAACCAAATAAGAATATTTTTCCTGTGTGGAAAACAACAATATTTATCGTTTGACGTAGCAAACATTGCTTGATTTACTTGATTCGACTTATGTTTCTACATCTATGATATATATAATGCGGTTTGTTGTGAGTCAATCTCCCTCTTTGTATGGCATATTTATTGTTGTTGCAGTAGTCACTCATGTCAACCAGCTAGCCGCTTTAGTATTTCTTCAAAACATCGCGGTTAATAACACCATCATACTTTGTGTATTCCGTCGAACGACCAGTGAGAGCAATAAATTGCTCGGCCACTTCAACGGCGACACGGATTTGAGCTTCACCTAAATTAGACAATTACATTCAATTAGTTTGTTTATAAAATCATTGTCACCACATGTCATCGGTATAAGTACGGTCACAATGACCAAAAGTAGAGCAGAAAACTCAATGAGTAGTACGTAGGAGAAATGAAAAATAGTATAATAAGCGTATATAGAACATAAAAAGTGCAGTAGACTTGCCTGTGCTGGCGCCCAAATGTGGTGTAGCAACAACGGCTGGATGTTGAATCAGTTTCTTGGTGATTTCGGCCTTTGGTGGTTCTTCTTCGTAAACATCAAGTGCGGCACCACCAGCTTTGCCTGATTCCAAAGCGGCCAACAAATCGGCTTCGTTGATAATACCACCACGTGCAACATTCACCACTTTCACGCCTTTTTTGCATTTGGCGAGTGTTGCAGTGCAGATCAAGTTTCTAGTGGCTGGAATGAGTGGAGTGTGTACGGTAATATAGTCAGCCAATGGCCAAATTTCATCCAATTCCAACTTTTGAATGCCAGCTGCCTTTGCCTCTTCGACTGTGGTGATTGGATCAAAACCAATAACTTTCATTCCGAAAGCATTCATGCGGATACCAACTTCACGACCGATACGACCCAAACCAAGAATTGCCAACGTTTTGCCGTACAGTTCTGAACCAGAGTACAATTTACGATCCCATTTGCCATCTTTCATACTTTGACCAGCCGGCACAATTGGACGCGCCAATGAACCAATCAACAAACATGTCAATTCACATGCAGAAATTGAATTTCCACCAGGTGTGCTACACAAAAACGAACAATCAACCGTAATTAGTTGCTATTTCGTAATCAAATTCAAACAATTAACTTTCATTTGACTCACTTCAAAACGATAACATCGTTTTTTGTTGCAGCAGCGATGTCAATGTTATCAACACCAGCGCCAGCACTAGAAACAAGCAAAAGTCGGAAATAAATTTTTGAAAAAACTCATTTTCAATATAGATAATCAAGGGTTTATCTTACCGGCCGACAACTTTTACATGTCCGGCACCGGCTTCGAGCACTTCAGCCGTAATTTTGGTGTCTGATCGCACAACCAAACCATCGTAATTCTGTGGTTATATGGAAAATTGTTAATAAAATTGTTGATCATATTGAAAATGCTTTAGAGAAGAAGAATGTGATGATAATAGATGAAAAGGAAGAGCGTGAAAATTAATTGAATATGACAAGTGAATAAAAAACGTGCTGATAAGGAAGACGAAAAAAAATCATGATGTAACTGTACCTTCACTTCAGCGCATAGTTGCTCTTTCGACAATTTCAATTTGTAGTCAACCTGCAATGAGACATATCCCATTCATTAGTCGCAATATCAATGACGTTCGTTGTTATGAAGTAGGAGAGAAATAAAATCGATTCTAACAAAATTTCGATATACTTGAACAAATACACATGCATGAAAAAATGCCGACTCAAATGCACGTGCGAATCATCGACAGACCAACTTGTTGAATATATTCATACGCAATTCAAAAAAGACACCGCAGTAGCAGCAGCTACATCTTTTCATGATCAAGAACGTTTCAAGTTTTGCATTCGTCTTTGATATTTTTCATTCTGTTTTTTTTTCTCGTTCAAATTGCATGAATATAAATATACAGAGAAAACCGGTTGATTTATGATTTTGTGTTCTTCAGTCGTTCTAACTGCGTATGCACAACGAATTGCCTCGCCTCCAGAATGAAAACAACAAAAATACACTTGTGCGCACGTGTGTGTGTGTGTGGGTCTGTATGAACAACGAAAAAACATACGCAATTTTCAGACGTCAGCTAAATTACCTTAATTCCATTTTGCTTCAAGAGTTGAATGCACGATTCATCGACAGCATCGCAGACCAGAACGTTTTGAATATCAACAGGCATTGTTTTTTTGTTTCTGTGGTTTTCTTGCACTGCGAATATTAAATGGAAATGGTTGTGATCTGTTAAAATTATTCAGTAGAAAACAGTCGAATGCCTCCTGGAACTGTATGAAAATAGATAGATAGATGTACGTGTGTGTTTTTTTTTTCTTCTCCACTCAACTCACCGAGACTAAAGAAATGAATTTATTTGCTATGGTGCTGCGTACAAGCGATCTAATTATGTGTTTATACACCGAAACGGCTCAAATCAAACTGATATGCTCCGGCGGATGAGTGGCTCTTTTTGAAAATATTCATTGCTTCTTTTTTCACGTCGACCGAAACGGTGCGGTGCGCTGTGCATTTGTGTGAGTGTGAATGAGCAAGTGTGCTCATGTTTATCGGTTTGATTGTGCGTCGCACAACTTGATCAACATCTATAATACACGGACATACACATTGATGTCCACACTCCACACAATGTGTATCAACCCTGTTGATGCGGTTCTGCTCTTGCTTGTGTTCAACGCTTATCACATTTACGCATTCAATGATGATGTGCACAGCTCTTATTGCTGTTGTTGTTATTGGTTGGTCGTTCGTTCGATGGTTTGCAGCGAATCAAGTAGACACAACACTAAATTAATCGCGCAATTTCAATTGATGTGCTCTGAAATGATGATGAAGCGCTTAATTTCTCAACGGGGGACATGCCAATTATCATCAGCCGAATATCGCATGTGATGAGATTTTTTTTTTATTTCTGTCTTTTCCATCATTCTTCGAAATTGAAACAATTAATGCAATTTTTCTATTGATACAGCTGGAAGTTCAGACACAATTGGCGAATACTTTGGATAAAATTGGAAATATTTTATTTGTCGTGAGATTTACCAATTCCATTTTTTTCTTCTTCTTATTATTGTTTTGTTGATTTCTCTTCCAATTTAAAATTGTATGATCTACTGTCTCTATTTGCCGTATCTGTCACAACGATTGCATCATATGAAACGTAATATGAAAATATCAAGCTATTTTTGTTTGTGAAAAAGTTCCAAGTTGAATGACAGCTAAGCAGTTCATAGTTACTGAGCTAATTATCTCTCGTCAGACGATAAGAAGTTCGTTAGTGGTCGCTGTTATCAATCCACCGAGGGTAAAAAACAACAGCGATAACATCTTGTTATTAAGGCATTGGTTGTTGCGATTTGTGTTGAGTGCCGGTTGCTACCTACAGAAAAACAATCTCCAGTGGAAAGAACTTGAAAACAGCAAAACAACTGCAATTTCATGAAAGAAACACTGTATGTAACACTGTTTATTCATGTTTTGTCATCATATATTTTTTACGTTTTTCTGGAGGGGATTTTATTAACATTTTCGTCAACAAGATTATTTTTTTTTCTCATTTTTGTTTTTGTATTGATTGTGTATAAGTTTTTTTTACTTGTCACAAAAATATTAGTAACAATATAACTTTTGAAATCTGTTTTAAGGTTTCCAACTTTACGAGAATAAATCAGGCTTTGTTATGCGCTAAATCCATCACGCTAAATAAACTCATGCGATAGATTTATGCGATAAATGTGATGCGCTCGCTTTGCGGTGACCGAAGTCTGTTGCTCTTCACTTGTTCACGCATGAACGTTCATGCTTTGCAGTAAATGCATCGCTTAGCGGTAGTGAAGAGCAACAGACCTCGTTCACCGCAAAGCGAGCGCATCACATTTATCGCATAAATCTATCGCATGAATTTATTCAGTGTGATGGATTTAGCGCATAACAAAGCCTGAAATAAATACAGAGTTTCTTTTTTCTTCTTTTTTCCCACTTTTATCGTTCCGAATTATTTCATCTGTTTCTAAATATACATAATGATATATGGGCGTTCTATATTGTGATGCGCGTTCCTATCTCTCTCTCTCTTTCTCTCTCTTTCATTCTCTTTCTCTCGCTTTCCATCTAAGGAAATGAAAGTTTATTTTTCCTCATTTATTTGCTGATTTTCGTGTTTGGTCACAATTGTCTATAGTTGGCTAACGATCAAGCTTGGCTTGCTTACTTGATCAAGTGGTCCTTATTATTGGAAAATTTTCACAGAAAGAGAGAGAGAGAGGAAAAAACGGATTCTTACAAAAGATTCAAATCTTAAAAAAACATTGAATATAACAGTGAGATGTGTAGTAAAATGGTTTCATTTTCTCTTCATTTTTTTTTTCAATTTGTCGTAAATATTTATTCAATAATCATGAGCGAACTACAATTCTTGGTTGAATGTATACATCCTTAGTGGGAGGCGAGCAAACTTAACTTAAAAGTAATTAAATTGAGGGAAAGGGAAATAATTTAAAATAAATAAATTATTATTATAATGAAAAAAAAAATCTATTCGCATTTAAATTTTCGCATTACGAAAAAAAGAAAAGATTTATGTACAAAAATAAAGGGAATTCGAAGCAGTTCGCATGAATGGCGTGCGAAAATCAAAAGTACAAATGCATATCGAGACTTGTATTTGTAATCAATTATAATCATAGTCAAAGTAACCTTGAATGAAGCAAAAAAAAGTAACTAGAAAAAAGCCAATCGTGTGCCATGAAACTTGAACAAGTGAATGTGCTATGGTGGTGTAGTGGAACATGCGGAAAAGAAATTCTCTAATGAAATGAAGAGGAAAAATAACAAATCTAATTAATGCTAACAAATAAACGCTGAATTATTGGTTTTGACAAGAATTAATTGCAATTCGCTCGACTCAAAACAAAATCCAACACATTTTGTATCACTAGAGAATTGCAATCATTCCACTTTGAAGCGGTGTGTTTTTCACAAAATTTAATCCACTGATTATTGTTTAATAAAAGTATTATCGTATAGCAAAATAACCGATATGAAATGTTGTCGTACTGATAACGTCTGAATCGATCAAAACATACATTGCTCGCAAATGTGTGTGTGTGTGTGTGTGTGTGTTGGTTGCTTGGCTTTCGGTCATATACATTCTAATGATAAGATATGCAATCAGAAGGTTTTTTTTTCGTTTGACTGGTCCTAAACTATATATACTACTAAATATGAAGAAAAATTCTCTTTCTACCAACTTTTTGAATAGATTTTTTGTTCCATGTTGCAACTTTTCTTCTTTTCATTTTTTGTGACAATTTTTCTTCAAATAACATCTCTTCCAGTATGGCTGTATATTTTTTTTTAGTAAATAATTGTTCGAAACGAGTGGAAAAAAAATTTAAACACATTCGAGAAATGATCAGACCATCAAAAAGTAAATAAATTATGTGTATTATATGTCATGTAAAAACTAATTTGCGACTTCATTCCATGTGAACTCAATTTCAATTTGTTTGTTCAATCGACGCGCGATAATATTCATTTGCATCCTTTATTTTCTAATTATTATTGGTACCCGTTGGAAATTTCCATTCATTCACTCGTTGACATTATTTCAATTATTTGATTCATTTCCATTTTTCTCATTCAAAATTCTTGCGAAACAATTTTTAAAAAAACCAATTCATTTCATACACGATGCGTCATTATAAACATAGAAACAAAAATCATCGACGATTTTTTTCCCCCTATCTTCTCGATTAAATTGCGCCAATGAACAATCTCAATATTGATTAAATTTTTGTTAGCTTACATACGTTTTCTTTTTGTTTGACTACGATGAAAAATAGAGTTGAACAATTTAAATAGAACATTAACAACATGAATCTGACAGGAGAAAATGCAATTAATTACTGGTAAAATTTTGTTTGTTTGTTTCATTGTTTTCAGTATTGTAATTTATATATTGATTAAAATGTTCAAAATATATGCTTCTTACAATAATATATATAAGAAAGGTGCACCCTGTAAATACATTTTTCATTTCACATACTCATTCCAATCGGTTTATCTCCGTGCGCGTGTGTAATTCGATCCATTTACGATTATGGAATTTGGATTTAAATGGTTATGTGTTTTGAAACGCGTATATGTCACATACTGTTGTTGTGTCATTCAATTCATTCGGCTCTTTATCAGGTTAATATGTATTTTCTGTGTATAGATGTGTGTTTTTTCTTTCATCATTAATTGTGTGGAAGTATTTCGGTTATTTATTCACTATGTCGAAGGTTTTGTATGTGCGTACATACACGCTTACATTCAACCAAAACCTAAAAGCAATCTCAATCGATGACATTGTTTGTGTGTCTGTTCTGTTGTTGTTGTTATTTTCCTAGTATAAATTGATTTTTTTGACGATTTGTTTTCGGCACATGTGACATGTTTTCAGTGTTTCGGCGCAACGTGAGCAACAGCTGTGACCGCAAAGGAAAGCAACGTCGCGTACTCGCTCCATGCAAATGCTACAGCTGTGTGTCTCTTCGAATTCCATGATTTTACTTTCGAGATAGCGCAAACGATCATCGGCCGCTGGTTGTCGTGGTGTCACTTGAACTTGCATACGATTCACGGCAGCAACAGCGGCTGCATTACTTTTTGGTACTTCTTTGCCATTGTGTGTGCGACGATGTTCAATTGGTCGTCCGCATGATAAACATTTTTTCATGCGCATTGAACATTCACCGCATGCAATTTGATGGGAGCACGGTTCAAAGATTATCAACGATAAGATTTCATTGCATACGATGCATTCATTTGGCTGCGTCGAATGGATTTGGTTTATGATTTTATTTGAATGATGCGTTTCATTGGCGGCACACGGTTCATTTGGCAACGCTGTGGTAGTCGACTGTTTGAAATTATTGTTATCTTTGGAAGTTGAGCTGGACGATGATGCGATATCATTGTCGGCATTTGCATACAAATTGCTAGTATCACTTGATGTGGACGCAGCAATACCGCCCGATTCATTTGGTATCGATGCGACCGGTGTATTTCCACGAGCGGCTAAGCGTGAATCCTCGTGATTCGTTTTCTTTGGTAAATTCTGATTTGTAGAGAGCTCATCGCCGCTGGCATTCAGTGGTGATGCATTTTGATCGCGTTGCTGTTGTCGTCGCATCGGTGTCGGTGGATTTGATTGGTTTGATGTGCCCGGTACGGCATCGTCACGATCCAATTCCGTCGCAAAGCTATTGTTTACACTGCCACTGTCCGACAAATTTAATGCTTGAATATTTGAATAGGTTTGTTCCAATTCACTACGCAAATCACTAACACCCGGCCGTCGTCCGTCCACCGCTCGTGCCTTTGCCACATAGCTAAGAATCAAATCTTGCATTTCTTTATCCAGAATCCAGTGTAAAATTTGATTGCCCTTGTTATTTATATCCACTTGGCATCCACTCTGTGCCAAGTAGCACAAAATTGCATACATTAACCGATTTTCATGGCAATGTGCCAAAGTCTGGTAGATTCCATGTATTTTTGGTGCTTCGGTTACGCTCACTTCTTGTGTTAGATTACTCTTTTTGATGACGCACAAATGCATCGCATTGTCACCGTCTTCATCTTTCACCAGCACATCGCAACCCAAATCGATCAGCTTTTCAATTGCAGCCGTATGCCCTTGTGCCACAGCCAATAAGAATGGTGTTTGCCGCCGATTGTTCCGTATATTTATGTCGGCTTTACCTTCACGAACAAGCACATCAACCACCAACGAATGACCGTTCAACGATGCCAAATGTAACGGAGCAAAACCATCATTCTTCTTAATGTCCACCAGTTGTGGAGCTAATTGAAGGATTTTTCGCGTTGCCGCCACATTTCCCTTCAACGAGGCATGGTGCAGTGCATTGAAACCACGATTGTTTCGTACGGTTAAATCAAGGTTTGGCGCATTACATAACAGCTCCACCACTTCGGTGTTCTCTTTGCCGATGGCATCGTGTAGAGCCGTATCACCGTAGCTATCTTGAATGTTCACATTTGCTCCGAATTCAAGGAGAACCTTCACACAATGCGGTGGTTTTTTATGTGCTGAAATATGTAGCGCCGAACAACGACTCGAATTCACGACATTTATGTGAGCGCCGTTCATTAGAAGGATTTTCATAATTTCTGGTTGATTGCCAAACGCTGCATAGTGAAGCGTCGAATCGCCCTCTTTATCAACGATATTGACATTTGCTCGCACCGATAACAAGTACTTGATGATATTTATGTGGCCTTGATGTGCAGCAACTTGAAGACAAGTTTTACCAGCACTCATACAATCGACTTGATCGGAATGCCCATCCAAATATTGCTTTACATAGTCCAAACGGCCTAGAGCCGCTTCACGCACCAATTTATCAGCTGCTGACGTTCCAGACAGATCGGATAGCGGAGTCAT